ACTCGTCAATCCTTAATGTTTTATCTTTGATTCGAACCGTCTCCCATGTCCGAAATACGTTTGCGGAGTCGCCAGATCCATCAAGTGTGGGGCCGGGTACTATCAATCATGTGGCTCTTGTTTACTTGTATTAGTTCCATACCTTATCGACCCAAAATTCCGGATCTGGTTTCGGATATTTTTTAAATTATATAATATTAAGGGTATTCATGAAACATGAACCCTCTCCAAAATCTGGGCTCTGGAGCTCAAACGGTTTTGGAGATATCAACTCTCAAAGTTTTGAGGCCAAAATTGCGGCTTTAATAGATGGTATAGATATTACTCGATGAATCTGTCCAGTGAGGTAAAATCTGACTACGCCATTTGAAAGAGGATTAAAAATTGATTCTAGAACACCAATGGTAAAAAGTGGGATTTGTGTTTTCTACTCTTCGATCAAAAAATAACAACAAAATTTAGCATATTAGCGTAACTCTCATAGCAAATATAGATGGTCTCCAATTGCCACCAAATTTGGTTTACAGCTTGTTCTAAGGTCCCATAACATTCTCTAATTTTTGTGAGGAGGTAATATTAAGAAAAATTAAAATATTTCTTTGCTAGCTTTTCAATGTTAAATACCAAATACTAAATGTTTTCCTATTTTAATTTTTTGGCTCTCATGAGACTTAACATCCTTCCCGCATGGAAATAAGTCCCTAAAAATGTGACTGGCCAAAGTGTCCAAAAAGTATACTTAAAGTATACAAAAGGTATACAAAAAGTATGCCTAAAGTGCCAGCAAAGTAGGGCCGTGCCAATCTGCTATACTTTAAGTATACTTTATGTATACCCTTTAGAAAAGTATAGATAAAAGTGTCATTTAGCTATACTTATTTCCATGAGGGTTTTGAAAGTATGTCAACATACTTCTTGTCACAGATTGGGCAGACAAGTTCTGATTTTACTGTATCCATTTTATCACATGAAAAAGAATGTAAATGCTAAATAACCCACTCTTTAGGCGCATGTGAATTGCTTCTGCTCCCGTGTTGTAAACAAATGGACCACTACCAACATACAATAATTATGTATGCAAATATACTATCATAAACATTCATAGAGGTGACGTTATATTCTTAATAATGTATTATTGTGTAAGGATAATAATTTTACTATCAGTCTCCAACCACATTTGCCAAGAAATACGGCGATAAGTACAACGCGCAGTTGGCAATCGGAGAGCAAGAAGAACAAAAGTCAGGAACGTGCTGCACGGCGCTGCTAGAGGGCGGCGGAGTCTCGGTCATCGGGTGCGTCCCACCCGAGCGCAAGGTGCCCCTCCATTACCTAGTCCTTCTCCATGTTATTGTTGGTATTGTTCTATCCGAACTACACAAAATGTTTACAATTTCAAAAACATGTGGTTGGCCTGTGGTCTGTCAACGTCTGTTTTTGTTGAATGAATGAACAATGTTGAATCATTGCAACTGATAATCATGCTCCCTGAGAGCAAACGTGTTGTTTTAAGTGGCTGGTTCTTATCATGTCATAACAGCAAGGATCTCCCATGGGCTAGACTTTATCATGAGGACTTGCCACAATCTATAGATCAAACAGAGAGTTAAAATATGTAAGCCGCATCCTTTTTTTGTGGTCAGAGTTTAGAGCGGTAGTTCTACTCGTAATTCTCATTCTCTAACCTGAAAACCGACGTCATAAGTTGATAACATGAAGATACCTTCAAAATTTGTGTGTCGCATGTTTGCTTTTGTCTGCTTCGTCTTCATACTGTGTGAATACCTCATATACTACTTGGTTATTTTCCAGGTTGGTAAATTTTTTATCTAAAGAATTATTTTTTCACGTAAAATTATGTACTAAAAACTGTTCTGGTTTCAAGTGTTCATGGCCGGTGTTTGACCCTCTCAAAGAAGACTCGTCCATTCACTTAAAATCTAATTATGAGCCAGTTAAAGCAATGTTTCTAGCGGACACCCATTTATTGGGATCACGCAATGGTCATTGGTTTGACAAACTAAGAAGAGAATGGCAGATGCATAGGGCATTCCAAACAGCCATTTCACTTCATAAACCGGAAATAATCTTTTTCTTAGGTAAATTATGAACAATTCTCTCTGATTCTTTGAATTATTTTGGGATATATACTAAACATTTTATATTTTAAATTGCAGGAGATATATTTGATGAAGGTTTATGGTGTGGCAAAGATGAGTTTGATTATTATGTAGCTCGATTTAACAGTTTGTTCAGATACCCCGAGAGTACAAAAGTTTATGTTATAGTTGGGAATCATGACATCGGCTTCCATTATTCGTATGTTGATGCTATAGTTTATGCAATTTTGAGTCCTTATGGAAGGGACAAAATTTTCATGTACAATCAAGCACATATCTGATTTTTTTTTTTTCAGGATTAGTCCATATTTGCATGAACGATTCATGAGTGCGTTTAATGCACCACCCATCAAGATGGCATCCATAAGGGGTAACCATTTTGTTCTTCTCAACAGTATGGCCATGGAAGGAGATGGATGCTTTTTATGTAGGCAGGCTGAAATTAAACTAATGAGTATTGCAGGTAAATCTTCTTTTCACATCCAACTTTCTTTCTGTGTAAATATATTTGACAACTATTTCATATGGTATTGAGTTATTATTGTCCTTATTTCAGAAAAATTGAGATGTATTCAAGGTATAGGTAAGAGTTGTGAGGCTGGACAACTCAGGAAACAATATAGTCGTCCAATAATTTTGCAGGTATTTTTTTTTCTCCTTTGACACTGATAAATTAATTATTACATTGAAAGTTATTTCAAATTATCACAATTTAATTTTTCAGCATTTTCCAATGTATAGAGATTCTGATAAAAACTGTGATGAGCCAGATGAGGCTCCAGAGGATTTGAAAAAAATGAAATTCAGGGAGCGTTGGGAGTGTTTGTCCCAAGATGCAACTGATATGGTGAGTTATGTATTTGTTCTTGATACATTTTATGCTTTATGCCCTTTACTTTTTTTCTGTTATGAAATCACATTTTTCCACAGCTTTTTGATCAGTTAAATCCTCGAGCAGTCTTTACTGGTCACACTCACCATGGATGTCACACCACCCATGGGGTATCTGGTGAAATACACGAGTACACTCTTCCATCATTCAGCTGGAGAAACAAAAACAACCCCAGTTTCATGCTTGTAAGCACTTTGAAAATACTTGATGTAACATAATGTACACATTAACCGGCCTGGGTACTTTACCCGTAACATATTGATGGTAAGCTGAAAAATTAACTCTTTGTGTTTCCTTCTTTGTAGGCACTCATCAGCCCAAATAATTATGCAGTCTCAAAATGCTACATGCCTCAAGAATCAACTGTTTTCTTCCTTTATTCTATAAGCTTGGCTCTCTTTGTATTCTGGGCTGCACGCAATGTATATCTTCTCTCATCCAGAAGATCCCATTCAATACGTCTGTTCAAAAGCTGTTAGCAATTCTAGCAATGTTCAACGTAGAGAATTTCTAAACCATTCTCTTTTGAGTGTTTTCTTCTATTTAAATCAAGTATTCCCATGTTTTACTTCCCAATGCAGACTAATATTAAGTTTTTCTGAAGCTTAGGTTTCTATTAAACATCTGCAGAAGTAGGAATATTAGTGCATTTACCAGTTTATGTTTGGGCCGTTTAAATTACTCTACCTATTTGTAGGTTATTCAAATTAATTTTATTTGTTCTATTCGTTATGTTTAAACATGCTTTTATGTGATAAGCTTGATTTTTAAGAAGGAAATTGAAGCTTGTTTTGTGATATTTAAAAGAATAGATATTTACAGAGTGGCTACTTGGATCATATATTTATTTAATAATATGCTTGTGTTAAAGCCATCTTGCTATTGGTCGCCTTGCCATTGTGTTCATTAGTGCTATTTGGTGCAGGTGGTTGTATTATGTGTCATTGCTGAGCTCTTGTGTTTTAAATCATTGTATTATGGTAAAGAAGGATCTGTGAAAAGAGCAAGCGTAATGTAACAAAATAATATAAATAATGGTTTATAAAATGTTTACAATTTCAAAAACATGTGGTTGGCCTGTGGTCTGTCAACGTCTGTTTTTGTTGAATGAATGAACAATGTTGAATCATTGCAACTG